AGGATAATATAAAATAAAATATTCTGATTGGGAAAAAAAAGAGTTGGTTTTTTTTTGGTTTTTTTTCCTAAGAAGTGTAGGGGGTTTTTTGCAAGGTTTTCATCTTAGCCTCTCATATACAATTTCAAGTGCTCTTTACTAGACAAAGCTGCCTTTTCCTTGGGGTGGTTAAGGACCACAGCTTGAAGTGTAGGTAGGGGGTTTTTTGCAAGGTTTTCAGCTTAGCCTCTCATATACAATTTCAAATGCTATTTTACTAGACAAAGCTGCCTTTTCCTTGGGGTGGTTAAGGACCACAGCTTCTGACATGTTATGAAATTTAAAACTCTGTATTGTATAGGGGTATTAGACTGAGGATCTTTTCAGGCTTCCCACTTAGACTGAGGATCTTTTCTCAAAGTTGAGCAGACTACAACAGAGTCCATCCACAAAGAGTTGGACTAGTATTCAGTGCTCCTTTCACACATAGCTTTATATGTCCTAAGATGAAAGCAGCAGAGCTATGAGAAGGCCCTTTGTATGGCTTCCAAAAACATGAGCAATTTCTTGTGTATTGGGAGAGAAAACAAAATTACACGTGACTTGTATCTGGGTGGCTTGATAGTCTAATTTATAGAAGATAAAAATGCAATCAATTAGTACAATTCTCTTGTTTCAGCAGATTTCCAAGGGCTCAGTGCTGAAAACTGAATGAAAAACAATGGGTTATGTTTTCTTCCAAGTCTGATTTAATAAGAAAATTTACTGGTGTGGTATTTAGATGAATCATTCCCTCAGGGTCACACAAAAGAGAATTGATGAATGATGCTTTCAAAGGTCTATAACCAAAACAAAGTTTCTTTTCACTGAACAAACTTAGTCCCATGCCTCTCCAGCATTGGTTTCCAAAGAAGAATATTTTTCCTATTTCAACCAGTGCCTAAAATATCTAAGACAAACATTTCAGCCACTTTTCAAAGTCACGTCTTCTGCCAGAGCTGTTGGGGCCAATTTGTTTGCATCTTACTGCTCTCTTAGAACCAGGAACCCAGTATCTAGGCAGAGAAAAATACCAACATAATAAACCTCTGAAATAGCCTGTCACTCCAAAACAGAAGCATGGACATTTTATATAGCCTGAAGAAACTTTATTTTATCTATCTCAACTGTTTAAAAGGATGCTTACATGAGTTAATATCTTAACCCAAACCAGCTAATGTCAGGGTCAAAGGATCCCAAAGCTGAGAGATACAGGCTACATTTCCTTTATAAAGAGAGACACATAAACCCAAAACAAGTTTTATCTAAGTGAAAGGCAAGCAGGAAGGTGGCATTCCCTCTTGCCCTTTTTCCATCAGTTAGGAGAAATTATACCCTACATCAACACTACTTGTCCTGAGGCTGGACAAAATGCAGTAGCACGTAGAGGTCAAAGGTGAGTTGGGTGAGACTGACAAGTGTCCAGCTTCAAAACAGGCAAAAATCCTGGGCTTTTTTGTTGGTGGTGGTGGTTTTGGGTTTTTTTGGTTTTCTTTTTTTTTTAAATTTTTTTAATTTTTTTAATGTTTTTGTGGCGGTGGTAGTATTAGCTCAGAACATTCCTGTAAAATTTATTTTAAAAATATGGTCTGCTTCCATTTACTTACAAAGTTAATCTGCTTCATATCCGTTGTATCGGAGCAGAAAAATAAATCAGTCCATTTCATTTAAATTTGCTTGCGTCCTACCAGTTTTATTTCTATTTCTTATTTCAAGCTCCATATCAATTTCACCTACCACCTCCACCTACAGCCATGCAGGACCACAGTAAGAAAAGAGTGTTGGGGATCAAACCCAACCATTTATTAAAATCACACATTTATTAAAACAAATACTAAACTAATTTGAAATACAACCTCCAAGGAATTCTTACAAATTGTTAACAGAAGTAACTGGACAGACACGCACAAGCTAATTACAAAGAAATCTCATAACAGCAGTTAGGATGTTCATCATTCATAATCAAAACTTCTGATTCCCTCAGTCATGCTTTTGTTTGTTCCACAAAAGATGGTTTGTATCTATTTCTTATTCTTTTTTTGACCCATAGCTATCAGCCACTTAATTATCCATAGTCTGTATTCTTGCATTCATTTCATTGCTATGTGAAACCAAACATCACAGCAGTAGCACACAGCATTTTATGGAACTGCATCTTAGCAGATGGCTTTGTATAGTATGAAGGTAAGTACATGTATTGGTTTTAAGTGTTCTGTGACTGGATGTCATGTTCTCATTCTAATTTCATGAATGAAAAATAAATCTTGTACAGAAATTTACTTGTAAGCCATTGCATCCCTCATCCAGCTGCTGGACCTATCATGCTCATAATCAGAAACCTCTAAAAGCTCTAAAAATTTCTACATTCAGCTAAAAAGTAAAAGAAACTACAATCCCAGACATAAACAGATACTTTCATTACTCCAAGCCCTGCTTTCTCACACTTCAGGTGATCAGCTTGTAGAAAACAATAATAGATAATCACTACCATTTTCCGGGGTTTGAATAGATTTCTCACTGGCATTGTGCCTTTCTCTCTTCCCTCAGGAAATCCTTTTCTTTACCCATGTCTAAACTCCCTGTTTCTGCAAGTGATTTTTTTTAATTAAAAAAACACCAAAACAACAAAACAAACAACAAAATATTAATCTAAACACTAGCAGAAACCTCATGTTAAAACTCAAACTGCTCTAATTTTGCAGAATGGCAAGGGCTGAGACCACACAGCCTGCTCAAGAAGGGTGCCAGGGGCTTTCCACCCCATTCCTGCCCTCCACAAACCCAGGGGAAACCCTTCTTCCCTGGCCTCTTCCCTCATCGAGGAAGAAACGAAGCAGCAATGGTGGAAAAGTTTGGACAAACCATTACTTCCTCCTTTGACAATTAGGGGGCTATGGAGAAAAAAACCCAATAGTAACAGATGCAGCCAGTTCCTCTTTCCCCTCATTCACCAGCTGTAGGCATTAGGGGGGTTTAAAAGAAGTATTTTATAGCAAAGATCAGATTTACTCATTCTCAACTCACTTCTGTATTAGTTCACTGGGCTTTTTGACTACAATTTAGTGATTCACGTGGGATGCCCATTTGAAATACATGGATGAGGAAAAACCAGATTACATGCATTTGCTCCGGGAAGCCAGAACGAGAGGAAGCAGCCTGCACTCGTGGCTTCCCACAAGACCAGCATGAGCCAGGTGGGCTCATTTCTCCTTCCCTAACTCAAAGACTTCATGAGCATATGGTGCAATTCAGGGAATTACAGGAGATTACAGCTCAGATCTGACTCACTGCTTAGAAGCAAAGTGTAGTCAGAATAGGCAACACTCCTTGCCCTGCATTTGTACTTATCTGCCCACATGGAAATAAATTAAGCACCCACCTCCTCAGCCTCGCTTCGTACTGCACTCACCTGCCACTACACCAGGACACAAACAAAATGCACTGGACAACCTGCTAACCCTGCAAGTACCCTTTTATTGCCCTGCTCCTCCTGCAGGTTGGTGGGATGCCAGGAAACACAAGGCAGCTGTGATAGATCAGGTATATTAAGAAGGAGGCTGTGGAAAGCCCTGAGAAAGAAGGAAACATTTACGTGCCTTTTACCTTGCTTTCCAGGAGAGGTTACTGGAAATTGGACTTGGCACTTCCTCATGACTCTTGGCTTTTGAAGCCTGTTAATCCTGGCACCTGGGCTACAAGTTCAGGCTGGCTGCAGTCTTGGCCTGATCTCTTGTGCCCTTTAGGGAACAAGTTCAACATCTGAAGTTCAGAGCAGTGCGCTGGGCTGTTCCACAGGTTTTCTATAGCCCAACTCCTGGTAAAGGGCACTTTTGGTCCATCAGCAACACTTTTCAAGCCAGTAGCCTTGCAAAATGTTGCCTTGTTTCAGACAATCCCCCATCCACTTTTGAGTTTGCAATGTTAAAATATCAAAGAGTAGTCAACAATGTTAAAAGCCCCAAAAATACATTAGCTCCACTAAATGCATCCACACAGCCAGCCTGAGTTTCAAATAAATACTTCACATTTTTTTCTTATGAAACATAATATTATAGTTTAATAAAATAAAAAATATATATATTATAAATTGCCCCTTTTTGTCTTTATCTTGGAGAAAGTCACAGGAGGTTTTCTTGGAAGCTTGAGGTGCCATTTTAAGAGTTTCTCTCTTGCATGTGTAGTTCTCAGGTGTTCAGTGGCATATCAAGGCTGTGGGACACTGCAGGAGCCCACCTGCTTGCAGCTCTGTACTGCCTGCACTTCTTGGCCTTGGTGCAGGCAGGAAGCACCTGATGAAAGAGAGGTTGTTGTGTTTATCTCTCCAAAATATATGGATGTTTTAAGTATGAGGGATACTGGATATTTGTATTGCCAAGTGAGTCCTTGCGTGTCTTTGTGAGGGTAGACTAAAATTTTCATCTTGCAATACCACCAGCAGTCTTCAGCTTGGACCTAGAGGTATAGCACTAAGACATAGGTTGCATTTCCTCCACTGCTTCTTTTTCTCCAAAATGTTCACCAGAATCCAGAGTGCACATGCTAGGTATGTACGGCAAGGAGGATGAGGAGACTTCACAAAACTGGACTGTGATTTTCTGAAACGATGCTACTTCACCTCAGTTTATCTCCACCTCAAGCTTGTATCCTGCACCCCCTGCACTAGGATAGCCTTGGTGTACAACCAGCAGTACTTCAGCCCATGCCCTAGCATAGCACCCTGGGCTTCCCTCACAGAGGCACAGTTTTCCTCAAAGACCACATTTTGTTTGAGGCCCATCCTCAAAGTTTCTGCCTTCGTGAGCTGCACTGGTTGTGCTGAGGGAGGTTGTTTCAGGAAATGCAAAAGACCCATGCAAGGGTCTGGCCTCTGCTTACACAACTATTATGTGCACAAATATGATAGTAGAGTGATGTTCCCACTTCACAGTGAATGTTTTCTAGCTGCCAGCACTTTTGGGCACCTGTAGGCTGGCTATACACAATCAGGTTTCACCTTCCCAGCTGTCTGGGGGCTCATTCCTGTGTCCCGCTCCAGCCCAGTTTCAGCCTGGCTTGGGCAGTGTTCAGGCAGCCCTGGTGTGGTTGGGCAGAGCCAGGTCATGGCATTGAACCCCAAGACCTGTGGGGGTGAATGTGGCAGCATCCTGAGGAAAGGCAGACCTACCCAGCAGGGCCAGGTTGGGTTTCTCTCTGGGTCATGTAGGTGCCTGAGGCAGCGGTAGAAGAGGCAGGTGAGAAGGATAAGGGAGGTCAGGGGGACTAGGACCCCCAGTGCAATGGCAATGGCCAGTGCCATGCTGCTGTCTGGACCTGTGGGGAAAGCAGCAGGTACTCAGTTTGTGCATGAAGTAAAAAAAAAAACCCTGAAACCCATTTCAAGCATACCTTAGGTGGATAAGAGCACTGGGAGCACATTCCAGCATGATGCACACAAGTGGCATTGCCAGCAGACCTGTGCTTGTTCTGATGTTAAGGTCAGGCATGTAGAACCCAGCCCCTCTGAGCTACCCAGTGCTTGGTACCGAGACAAACCATGTCTTGGTTTGTCACGTTACGTGACAGGAAACCCTGTCATAAATAGTCCCTGACAGAGACAGGGAGGATGGGGCACATCATGGTGGGTAAGGGGACCTGAGGAGCAATAAGACATTATGTGCCATTGACCGGGGCATCTGGATGTTCCATGGCACCTCCTCCATCCCTCCCAAGCCCAGCCACAGCTGCTCTTCCAGGTGCGTTCCCCACCTTCCAACCCTCTGAGGAGTTTTCTGATTCTGCCCTAGGAGGTGCTTCCCAATTTCTGCCCTACTCCAGAGCAGGAGCAGAGTTACATACTGACCCTGCTCCAGGCTGTCTGTGGGAAGGACCAGAGTCACATTTAGAGAAGGGTGTTGGATCATGCAGGTGATGGGGTACTCCTGAAGGATTTTGGAGTGGGTGTGGGTAAAATTACTGATGACAGTCACGGTCTGGTTGCTGAACTTTATGTGGTACTCCCTTGGCTTCTGCTGCAGGATGCTGGGGAGGTGCCAGGTTATTTTTGGAGCTGGTTTCCCTGTTGCTGAGCAGCTCATCCCCACCATTTTCTCAGAGTCCTCAGCTTTGCCTGGAGTGGATATAAGCTTAGTTTCCACTCTGGGGTCCGAGATGGCTGTAAACAACAAAAGTAACAACGACAAAAGTAACAAAGTCCATTAGTTTCTGCCTATGTTTAAGCAAAGAGCATCTGTATTTACAGTTATCTTAGAGGCAAAGATTGCTATCTAATCTTAGCTCCCCCTTCCCAAAGCCCCAGCAGTGACAAATAAATATGAAGGTGATCAGACAGTAGTCTGGAAGTGAAGAGCTGGACAAGAGAAAGGGCAAAAGGGTGGAAGCATCTGTTTCAGTTCTGTTACTTGCAGCAGCCTCCCAACTGAGAAGTGGTGATTATGGCTGAGTTAAAAGCAGAAGGCAGTGAAACTGTGAAGTCATATGTCCTTTTCTCTCTGAAAGAGCTGAACTGCTTAAATGACTTAGAGTTATTTTCCTTTAAAATTACCTGCAGGATTAGCTTTACCGCTGTTTAGCACTTTTGCTGTTGAGGTGTGTAGAGTTGCAAATCAAAGGACTAAGTGCATCTATTTATGCAAGACAGTAATAGTGAATTTGTATGTGTTACACCATGGGATTTCGCCTGTGGAGGGTTTGTGCTTGTAGAACTTTGTTTCCTCTTGTAAATAGGTTTTGGATGTGTCATAGTATCACTCAAAACTATCATGAAAGATCACTTCTTTGAACATTCTCACTTCAGAAGATTTGTGGATGTTGTCACATTTAATTTTAGTCTGGAAGAAGGATGAACTACAGGCATCATTTATGCTTACTCACACACAAGAAACCTACTTATCCCTTGGCATAAATTAAAAATTAATAAAATCCCTTGGTGCCTACTTATCCCTTGGCATAACATCATGCCATAATTTAGGTCAGAAGGGATTTCAGGAGAATGTCTAGTTCAAGCCTCTGCTCAGTTTGATAAGGTCAGTTTTCAGAGGCACAATATCTATAAAGGTGTGTAATTTGGGAGTGCAATCCATGGGTTTGTGCATGGCAGCTCCCCAGCCTGCCTTCTACTTCAGTGCTGATGGAATAGGGGTCCAAATCACACTCTACTTCTAGGTCTCTGTTTCTGAGAATATTGCTTTTTTCAAGCATTTAAGTTCAGTGGCAATTCTAGTTTCAATCAAGTCTGAATTACCATGAATGTCCTCTGTTTAAAAAAAGCATCCACTGCTATAATTAGTAGAATTCCATGTGTATATTACTACTTACATAATAAAAATAACTGTGGTAAGAGCAATATTTATGCTAAAATTAATTTTTATCCCAACACTAGAACATACCTCTATAATTTAGCAATTCTGCTTTTAAATGAGCAAACAAACATTCTTTTCATTCTTCTTAGGAAAACCAAAGATTTTTCCTTTTGTGAGGCAAACAAAGATTTGCCTGTGAGGTGTAGCAGACACTGCAAAAAGGGGAAAAGGAACGTGCCAGATGTGTAATGGCACATATAACCTCCTGATACAATTCCAGATGCACCTCAAAAGGTTGTCTGTGTCTTCCAAGCCATAACTGCCAGAGGGTAGAAGCAAGACTTTGTATACCAACAATTTTGTTGCTTTCTGTTTGTTGTTTGATTTTTTTACAAGCCTGACCTCATTTACTTACTATGGTTGTGCGAGCATAGAAAAAATAAACTTGTATTTCTCACTTTTTGCATCAAACATAGACAAAAACTCAACCAACAGAGTTGCTGAAACCTCTGAGAAAAAGAAGGAAAGTGTTTAGGGGGATTTCAGTTGGAACATCTCAAAATCTCCCGGGTATGAAAAGACTAGTGTCACAAACAATTTATGTTTTGATTAATAAATTATCTCTGAACTTCTTTCACTCAGGTATGAAAAGACTAGTGTCTTTTACACAACAATTTATGTTTTGATTAATAAATTATCTCTGAACTTCTTTCACTCACGGGATGCATAAAAATAGCATATCCACCCACAGCATTAACTTGAAATATTAGGTTGCACAATTCACAAGCAATCACAGGGAGAAGTCACAGATGTGACCACAGAGGATGAGAAAAAATCAGTGTCTTGCCAGAAACACATGCACTCCACACTGCTCTTCTTCTGACTAAGCAGTTTTCTCTCTTCTCACAATGGGCCCCAATGAATGATCCTGTAGGGCTGAGCTTCTCTCTAGCAAATGTCTGTAACAGATGCACTGCCAAAACTTGTAAGTGCTTACTTTTGCAGAAAAGACCTGCTACACTGTTTGCTAGTATGTGCTGGCTGTTCATGTTTGATGCATACACTTAACTGCTTCTTTTGCCTTTCATCAAAATATTTGTTTCCAGTGAAAAAGGCTTCACCTGAGATATTGTGTGCCAGTACTTGCTTTAGTTTCTCTTGCAGATCAGTACTGCAAGATGTTCCCAAATTTGAGACTTGTCAGCATTCCCAAATATTTGAAAATAGCTTCATCTGTAATGACTTTCTGTAATTAAAGGAAATTAGACACTGCTAATGACCTGATTCATATGCTTTTTTATGTTTAAAGGCTTAGCAGTGGTGTTACAGAGAATTATAAAAGATTGTAGGAATCACAATATGCCTCATGATGACAGAAAGCATTTTCAAACCATATGGGTGTTCACCAGAAGCACTGTGCCTTGGTTTCCCTGTCTCAGAAATTGCAATGGCATTTTTCCAACTGGGCTCAAGACTTCCAGACAAATGTTGCCAACTACAGTGAAGGCAGGCGGTCTCCAAAGTCAGCACAGCAAATGTCCAGGGAATTTTGTGACTCAGCAGTCTTGCCTATCCTCATGTGACACATCCCCTTGTCTCTATACCTATCCCTCAATCCTCATCCTGGATTTCATTCTCATCCTCTTTGACAATGAAGTTCGGCAAAATATTTCCAAAGTAAAATGAAGGGGGAACACAGCAGACTGCTCAAAAGAGACCCACTAAGCTTGCTTGAAATTATTCCGTTCTGAAATGGATTTTGCCACAGGGTAGGACATTTCTGCTTCTTCCTGGGTTTGCTGTTTTCAGGTCTGACATCCTGCCAATCATACCTGATTTTTTGGTTTTTTTTAGAGTGTTGTATCTAGTTCTTACATGGTTTCACTTCCCCTCATCACGCAGCGATGGTGCCCATCTTGTCCCAGAACAGCTGGGCTTGCTAAGGCTGCAGTAATCAGGCAATTACCAGCTTGTAAACTCCCTGGTAGTCCCCTCTTGAGGGCAAAGATATGGCAGCGTTTAATTATCAACTGGTGACTTTGATTTGCTCACCCTGCCCTGAACCTCTGAGCCTTGGGAGATTCCTGCTGGCTTCACTCTCCCTCATGGGGCAACCTCTGGCCTTGTTCAGACAAACTGTTCCCATTGTTAGGAGTTAGGGTGTAAAGAGCAAGACTGTGGCTTTTAAGTAGCATCATATAAATTATCTTCAATGAGATAACCATACACGAACTAAAACCTGCTGTCAAGGTGCCAAGTGCTCAGTTTGTTTGTGGTGACCCTCCAGGGCTGGTTTGATACAGCACATTACAGGAAGGCTACCATGACCTCGGTGAGGCAGCCGCTGGCAGTGACCTATGAGCCCATGAGAGAAGTTAAACCCTTCTCAGTTAATGCGTTTTCATCTGACCAACAGAGAAACATCCCTTTTCTTTTTTATAGAATTAGTGATCTGGTGAAGGATGAACCATAGCCAAAATGTTGGTGAGCTTGGGAGAGACTTCCCCCACTTGGACAGAATAAAAAACCAAACCAAAAGCCAAACCTAAAAGAAATCTCAATGTTTAGATTTATGTGATTAAAAGAAAGAGATCCCTCTGCAAGGCACTCCCATGTTTTTCCTGTAATGTATAATCAGTGCTAACCCTCTGAATGACTCAGAACTGGCTTTCTTTAGGAATTTTCCTCTTCATATATGAAATACCACATGAATTTCTCGTCATTTCTCTTTCTGCCCTAGTTTTCCCAAAAGAGGGGGAAAAGAAATTTTGTTCCAGACTTGGTTTTCTCTTGTATTTTTCACCACCATCTCCTTTCCCCTATAAGTTAGGAACTTCCTTTCTCCACAGAGAGGACTCCAGAGACGTGTGTGATCATATGTGTCCATGTCTTTGTCAGCAGAAGGTACTAGGAATAACCAAAATACTCTGCAAGGGCCATATCACCAGTGACAAGGCACAGACACTAATACTCACCACACGGAATATGATCTTTGGCCAGTTTCCCCACAGCAGTCTCATCCCTGAGAAAGCTAGGAGCCAACAAGGTGTCGTCAGAGCATGTTTAATGTCTCAGCTTTCTCAGCTGGACAAAACCAGCAGCTTTCCTCAAAAGATAAGCAGCTTGTTACTCTTCATTCTTTTGAGTTCATCTATTAGTCTCTTAGTCTTTATTTCATGGTGCACTTGCAGGTTGATGATTTCATATGGAGGTGACAAATATTGTCACCTTTACTCATGATTTGTTTCAACTCTCTTCTTTAAGCTAGTTGATGCTGATCTGCTCAAGGTATTCAGATATTCATGTGTCAAATCCCATGAGCTGTACAGTATTTTGGCCTTCCTCTTTACTCATTATTTGTTTCAACTCTCTTCTTTAGGCTAGTTGGATGCTGATCTGCTCAAGATATTCAGATATTCATGTGTCAAATCCCATGAGCTGTACAGTATTTTGGCCTTCCTCTTTTTAAAAAGAAATTTTTAATCCTTTTCCTGACCCTAGCCCAACTGCTGTTATTTTTCCTCTAGCTTCAAAATGAGCTTCCAGCTATGCCAGTAATGCATGTGCCTCTTTGTATTTTGAATACTATGCGATTTTTTTACAACCAAATGCAAAGCAAGTAAAAAATTGTGTGATTTCCAGGATTAGGGGGTGAGAGCAGCGGTGAAAGGAAGCAGAGGAGCACGGGGTTCATGGCTGTGGCCAGGGAGCTGTCAGCACAGGACAGGGCCAGCAAAACTTGGAGGAAGTAATGAGTTACATGTCAGTTTTGAATTTTGCTGTTGCTGACTTGAAAGGGAAGAAAATTAAAGAACTATTGAATGCTGGTTTCCCATCAGAGGTAAAACCAGAGAGGAAGAGAGCCAGGGAGAACCATGCTGCATCAATGTAGCAATGTTAGGGAAGGTTTTCACAGGAAAAATGACTTGGTCCTCAGATAAGCACCCATACACAATCACACTGGCTTACCATAAACCTTGAGACACGTCCTGCCAGTGACAGCCCCTGAGGGAAATGTGTTGAAGATGCATTTGTAGCATCCTTCATCTTGGAGGGTGACTCCATGAAGGGAGATGGCTGAGGCTTGCAACTCGCTGTGGGCAAAACTCATGTGGCTTACATAGGCCTTGGCTATTTTTTGGCCATTCATCCTACTATAAGTTGCTATGTTGTCTTCAGCTCCATCCATCTCCTTCTGCCATGTCACCTGTATCACATCTTCTTTCGTGACTGACCGGCATGAAAAAGTAACATTTCCTCCTGCCTGGACTGACTGGACCTTTCTGTTCGTCACCTGCACAGAGGCTGGGAGAGAAGCAGATGCCACACTCAGCATTTCTCACACTCTTCTGCAGCCCAACCCCAGCAAAGGCCCCTGCAGCCCCTCACCTTCATTTCCAAGCAGAGCAGTTCTGGAGGATTTCTCTATCCCTCCATCTAGGGAAAAGTTGAAAATGCAACTTGAAAGAACTACTCAGAGAGTTCCACTGGGCCTGCCACCTCTCACACCAAGCATTTTGCTAGCTTGATAACTATGCTGCAGAGAGCACCATTGAGAAAGGCAGTTCTGGTGTTGGGAGCCACTGATTTGTCTGCTAGGACTGCTATCCCATGGGCACCCACAGAGAGAGTCCCTAAACTTTCAGCCATGCTGACAACCAAACAGCTGCTGGCCCAATACCACCCTCTTAGCCCTCCTGTGGCATGGGGTGTAGCAAATCAGTAAAAATGCTCAAAATTATTATGTGTCTCACTATACACATAAGTATTCACACTTGTCAGAGATTGGCAAGGATCAGAAAACTAGAAGAAAAAAGCAAGAAGGGTTCTCAGGGAGAACCTGAGGCAAACTGTCCTCTTATCTCAGCATTGAAGTCATGCTGCTGAGAAATAGCTGCAGAAGAGACCCTGTTGATGGCCTGCAGGAAGAAAACTTGCACAGCATAAATGCCTTGGTATTAAAAGTCTCCAGGGAAAAAACCAAAACAATCAGTCTCTTCTTCCAATTCGTAGACATGAAAAAATTGTTAAGGGTACAGGCAAGGTGAAGCTGACAGCTCAGCTCAGCAGTTCTCTTGGCATAAATAATTTTCAAAGTTTATTTGTGCATGTCAGCATGGGAAGAGAGATATCAGCAGTAACAGTTGCAGCACTGAAAACATAATTCAATTTACAAGAAAGGGAAATATCTTTGCAGAGAAGGTGAGGCTCTCTGCAGTGCCCAGAGGTACGCTAGGCTAACCCACTCAAGAAAGTGCTCTGAGATTCTGGCTGTGACCATGGCCAGGCAGATTTCCATCAAAGACCAAGAAGCCAGCTGTCAAGCTGTGCCAGTCACTTCACCTTCTAGATCTCAGCAGTGCCATAGGCAGACCACAAACCATGATCATGGAAGCTAGTTTGAAACTAATTCAGTCTTTTCTACATGATTTTTAAATACAAAACCAGGGTAATACATCCATGCTTTTGATGGCCTGAGCAGATACATACAAGCATGATTTGCCTGATTTGTAATCTGCCCATTACAATACCTTTATACATCTCTCTGGAATTTATGGTGCACTGGTGATAAATTAAGAAGTGGATGCTCTCAGTGCAACCAGCAGTGACATGCCTGAGCCCAAGGTAAGTAGTACAGTGCCACAAGTGCTGTGTAATCACTGGGTTTACCCCAGGAGGGTGTGAAGTGGGGACTGCAGCACCCAACATCATAGAAGGAGGCTGGCACAGCCACTGAGGTCCCTAACGCTGTTAGGATAAAGACACAGACACCCAGACAGACAAGGGAGTTACCTGGAGCAGTGGTCCAGACACAGGAGAGGAGCAGGCAAGTGACCATCATCATCTTAGCTGTGCACTCGCTCAGAGAGACAAGAGAGCAACTGAGTACCACTTCCCCTTTCTTAAACGCTTTGCTCTTACTCGAGGGACATTCCCCACCATGCAGTAATTGGTACCTCGTGAAAACCTCCTGCTTCTATGACACAACTGAATTTTAGGGGACCTGAAACAAACGTCAGAACCAGAAACTCAGGTTTTCCCAGCTGTGCTGCTGAGCGGACAGGGGTATTGGGTTTTTCACAAGCACTTTGTCCATAAGGTTGGGTTTTTCATAAGCACCTAAGTACAAGCACAGATTTTGAAACTGTCTCAGCACCCAGTGTCTGTGGGTTGCAAGAGGAAAGGCCACCCTGGCCTTGACCTGAGCTCCAGGAAAGGGCATGCTGCCATGAGTAGCACAAATGTCCTTATATGTAACTCAGAGTTAGGGGTCTGCACCCATCATGTAATTCAGTGATGAGGTGATGAAAGACCCAGGATGTCCTGATGCTTCTGTAACACAACTCTTACTCTAGGTTAAGGAGACCAAAGCAAGACAAGAGGTGGACTCAGGGCCTAAGTCATGTGTTGTCTCTCAGAGAAGGAGCAGAGCCTGGGTCTCACGTCTCCTCCATTGAGGTTGCCTCCATCTCCAGAGGTCCACGATCCTTCCCCAGCCCTGTCCCTTGGAAAGACAGGGTTGTCTTCCACAAGCATATACTTTCTCCTCCACCATCACCTGACATGACATAAAAATAAGTCATACAACTTGTCTGAGTCATTGTTTTTATGCCTTTTTGCTGTGTCGTTGTTGTGCCTGTGTTCCCCTTTCTGGTGTGGGTTGTGATCACTGCTGAAACCAGCCAAGCCCTCAGCCCATGGGTGGCTCTCCTGTGGGGCAGCCATACTATGAGACCTCGTTTGCTAATCAAACTTCTGCTGGTAAATTGTGTTTCACATTTCTGACTTCTGATGAGGTGGCTTACATTTTTTGCAAATTCTTACTACTACAAATGACTATGATTGCTAATAAAATGTTTTCCCTCAGTTGAATGGCCACACAGATTAGCCTCAAGTTATGCAAATCAGTTGCAAGCCAGCAGGCTCAAACCATAAAGTGACACAAAAAATTCTCAAACATGCTTTCACATTTATGATTCCTTTTTCTCCTTAGTGGCAACTAATCTGAAAACAGAAACATCTCAAGTATGAGTATTCCTCTAAAGAAACATTTTGGATGTGCTTTTGAGTAGGTTCAAGAATTCATTCCCATAAGTCTGAAAAATGCATTTGCTTCATACTATTGTCTTTTTCCTTTGAGATATCTTATTTTCCTTTCCTTGAGTTACTTGCATAGTTGCACTTTCCTGCAAAATTTCTGGAAAGGCATTCTGGCCTGATCAAAATGTGAGATCACTAATTAGCAATCACAAAAGGAACTGCACTTGATTTTAAAAAGAATTGCAAGCCCAACTGGTATGTAGGAAATATTCTTATCAGCTTTAACTAACTTATTTTCTCTCAGCAACACTCTGATCTTCCAGAACCCTTAAAAACTGTGTGCTGCTAGAGGAAACACTTCAATGAAGAGCAAACTTTCAGTCTTAGCAAAGGACAGAGGTGGCTCTGCCAGTGAGAAAAATTTGTTTGCTTTAATTTGTTATGGCATCCCTGGTGAGAAAGAGCTGTGTATGCTGGCTGCTCCTTCCAAGCTCTGCTTTTCCTCTGACAGCTCCTGGTGCCACAGGGAACCTGAGCCTGCAGTGACCTCCCTAAGAGCCTTCATGAGTCAGTGTTTGCATGCACATCCAACTGCTGCAGCATCTCTGTGAAACCACTCCCCTTTCTCCAGGGACCAGACAACATCAGCAGTTTATTAATTGCTTTAAACACAACATTTTACTCATAATGTGAGATCCATTAACCCAACCACTTATCTGAAATTTGTGAGTGGATCTTTAAGTGCATGAATGGCTGCTCTGTTCATCTTTGCATAGACTTTTGGTGGATTACAGACCTTCTTCCTTGCCAGTAAAATGCCATGCTCTCCAGCTCCAGTTGCACAACGTCCTCATTTCTGAGAACTGCACACCATGCCTGAGCTTCAGTCACATTCCAAAGACAGTGAAAGCTTGGGGGTAAATTAGGCAGAAGTAGTTCTGCAGCTATGGCTTGAAAAGCACAGTGATTTGTATTGTTTTCTTCCTTTCAGTTTCACCAGGATGTTCTCTTTAGTTCTGAGCAAATTTAAAAAAGGACATACAAGAATTGCACAGTCATGAAATGCCAGCATTTCCCCACAGACTAAGTGACTAATGCTTTTTATAATTCATGTAGCTGAACTTCCAGAAAACATTGCCAAGGGAAGTCACTCAGGCACAATTATAGTCTAAAACATTGATTTGTCAACTACCAGGTTAAACCACTATTTTTCAGCCACCCAAGCCCAGGTTAACAACTGGATGTCTGTCTACCTTGTCAGAAGGATCCAGTGCCACCTCTCTAGACATTGCCTGTAAAGAGAACAAAACAGGTGGAAAGGGTTCGTTGACTTCTGACTTGCAGTGACTTTTGGAGGCTGGTTTCTCAGCTCTAATTGTAGGTAGCGCTGTTGGGAAGCAGCTTGTCGAATGTAATTGAACAGGTCTAGAACTTTATAACATGTTTCAGTTGTGCCTGCATATGGCAAACAACTCTGTTGAGTTTGGAGAGCTGCAGTACACTTAGGTAAGGACAGGAGCTGCATCTACCAACGCTTGCTCCAGCCTCTGGCATAGCATCAGAGCAGGCTGTGGCAGTTCAAAACCAAGGGATGCCGCAGGACCTGTGCTGCTCATTTGGACAGGGTTACAGACGAATTGTTGTGTTTGCACACTTGTTTTGGTTCAGAGCACACAAGGGTAATTTATACACAGACACAGCTGTTTATCCTTGTCATGTTTGAATTGGAGGTATGCGATCTCTCCCCAAACTGGACTCCCTCCCTCTGCTAATATCCTGCTGTCAGCTGCAAGTTACAGCTTCTGTTACTGAAATCTGGTGTTGGACTGCTTAGCAAAGTGCAAAACAGAAACAAAGGACGGGGCTACTTAGCAGAGACCTAGCCCATGGTGGTGTACCTCTATCTGCAAAACTGTTCCACGTTCCCAGGGGACAGCACTTGTTCTTAGAATGTTCTGTTAACTGCCTGACACTTCTTACTTCTGAGGTTTGATGAAATGGCTGCAGACACCTGAAGTCTTAAAGAGATTTTTTTTTTTTCTGGCAATGTACAGCAATTACAATGTGTCAACTAAAACTTGCTTCCTCCCCAGCCAATAAGATGTGCAAATTATATTTCTGGTTCTTCTGTTTTTCTTTCTTTGTAGCTTGGGAGAAAGAAAAAGGAATAAAAGTATAATAATTTTTTTTAAAGGACAAAAAGAAGACAAAGAAGCACAAAAAGACTGCACTGGGAAGCTTCAGTAGCAAAGGCTATACTTCATTGTGGTTTGAAGTAAACCATTCAGTTTGTCACAGCATTTCTCAGAAGCACAAGATGGCTAGGCATGTGGTTTCCTCTTGTCAAAACCACCATAAATTGCTATTCCAGAGTACAGAACCTAGAGGGAGTCCATTCTGCAACACTTTAGTCACTTTGTGGAGGCCACCAGCTCTTCCCAGCACCCCAGGAAGCTACATCACTCATCTATTCCACCTCTCTTCCTCTCCCACCCCCACTTGCTAATGTTTGCCTGCAGTGGAGGCTTTGGGGTGGTTTTTGGTTTTTTTGGGTGCAAAACATCTGACTGCTGCATCCACTTACAGTGAGATAACGTACTGCTTTGGTCACTGAGTTTCATTCTGTAAAACAGCCAGTACAGAAAACAATTCAGCCAGCAAGGAAACTACACCAAAACTGGCTACCAAAGGGTGCAGAGATCCAGTGGAAGGATGGGAAACTGTCTACCAAAAATAAGGTAGGCCCAATATCATTTTGCATTTAATTACTAAACAATAGGACTAAGAGTGATTCCAAAACAAATTATACCTGCATTGAATCAGCCTCAAGGGACCATGCAAGGTACCACGAGGAGTTTCTTGATTAACAAAACATAATTTAGCAAGCAAATTAAGATAAACAATACAGTTCTTAGCATGTCAAAGACTATTGCCTCAGGATGATGTTTACAGATGTGACATGTGTAAGCTCCCAGCACAGTGAGTCTGCTGAAAGCAGGAAGGGAGTCCATCTTGGTGAGGAACAAAAGGAACAGAGAATACTTGTCATCTGCTCCAAGTTTCCAGACAGGAAAACTACACTTAGAGGAGATTATCCTTGCTGTCTCTTATCTGTTGGTACCATGTCTCATAATATACTATATAACACTATATAGACATCGACTAAATTGTACAATATATTTAAATGCTGTACATGAGCTATGTGAGTATCCTATAGTTATGTACAACAGTGATTAGGAATAGATTGTCTCCTAAGGAATGATATAGACAGAGGAGGATGCTCAACAGGAACCACCTAGGACAGGTGGAAAATTCCCTTTCTTTTCCATTGTCTTCTTGATAGGTCAAAGAAAAGGTCATGCAACCTCTGAGTACTGCACCCTGACTGCTAGCTTGGTCTTGAGCTCAGATGAGGTACTCCATTGCAAAAATTCAATGTTCCTTTTGTTTGCAAAGAGAATGCATCTCTCGCATCTCTGCAGGTCTGCGACCAGATGTCTAAGTTGTGACCACATTACCTGGCCTTGAGGAAAATGCCAGAAGTCCCCAAAGCATGAAGTCCTGCTCTGCAGTAGCAGTTTGAGTCAAGGCAAACAAAATCCATGTGAAACTGGTGGGTCCTTACCTGTGGCAGCAAGGAGCAGTAATGAGCTGGTGTGCCTGGGTCTCAGGTCCAAGCTCTCAGCTCCCAGGTTTGCTGAATCCCCACAGCTTTAAGTGGTCCTGACACCCTTACATGCGGAATTTGTGTAACTTTTGAAATAATTCCTGAGTGCTTTTTAGGAGAGGGAATAAGAACAGAACTATCTATAAGAACCTTGCAAGCAAGGTTTCTTTAAGGCAGCTTTTTTTTTCTGCTAGCTTGATGGGGATTGAAACCTATATCCCCCATCAGCTCTATAAGAACCTTGCAAGCAAAGTTTCTTTAAGGCAGATTTTTTTTCTGCTAGCTTGATGGGGATT